CAATCAAAGGAACACCTCATCCAATGAATTTTTCACTTTCAATATGGTAGTTTTCATCTCTAGAAGTTCCACTTGGGTGTTCTTTACATTTTCAAATTCTTTCCTCATTATGGTGATATTTTTCTGCCTTCTGGAGACACAAGGAATACATATATAATGACTGTTTGAACACTCCTGTCCACGAGTCCACCATTGATATCATTTCTGTTTCTGTTTCTGTTGTTGTACTTTTATCCATATTCTAGACGGCGCTTTTACTCATTACTTATTTATAGTTATTATGATTTATAGTTCTTTATTTTTAAATCATTATGTTGGGCAGTATGTAATTTTGTTGCTGATCTCTAGATTCCCTTGTGTTCTTTGGACATTGATATATTTCCTTCTGGCACATAGCCAGGCTATCTGGATCGCAGTTGGGGTTTTTCTAGCTTTCTGTTAAGCCTTACTATTTGGGGGGGGCATTTCAGCCATTTAAGTCTACAACCAGGGTATACTCTGTCTAAGGTTCCTTCTGATACTTCAACCATTATGAGGTCTTTCTGTTTTGAATTATGGGAACAAAAACATCTCTCAGTCGTTGTGAGGTCTGGGAATTACTCTGCTTTCTCATTTCTGAAAAGTCTTTCCGTGGTTTCAGATAGTCCCTGTCACTCTACCAAGGGTTAGCACGTCACTAAAGACACGAAGTGAATCCTCCTGTAGATTCTTAGGGCTCTAATCTGGCTGCCCACCCTGAAAACTCTGTAAGTCTGTGCGTAAGTTGTGGCCACCTTATTCTCTAACTCCACATTCTGTTCCCTCCCACAGAAGAGACAGATGGACTCTGTTTGGAAGGCCCCTTTCTTTGAATGTCACTTGGAGAGACCTGCTGCTGTTTACCCATTTTCTGAAAATATTGTTCACACATTTTCTAGTTGTTTAACAAAGGGTAAATTTATCATTTGTTCCAAGATCCTGCCAGGAGTTTATTTTCCTTGTCTTTTAGAAGTACTTCAAAGATAGATTCCACAATTTTAAAAGATTAGATATAATAAGATTGTATATAATATAATAAGCTGGTTTTTAACAGTGTGTTTTCTCCAGGCAAAGTACTAATTTACACTATTTCAATACGTTGGTTTAAATAACTATATTTCACTCATTTTCACTCTGGCATACCCCTTTACTCTGTTTTTTATTTGTTTGAGAAATTCATTCATGGCTGGGTGGTGGTGGTGCACACTTTTAATCCTAGGAGTTGGGGGCAGAGGCAGGCAGACCTCTGTGAGTTTGAGGTCAGCTTAATCTACAGAGAGAGTTCTAGGACAACGAAGACCTACACAAAGAAACGATCTCAAAAGAAACACATCACTACGCACGCACAAACAAACAAACAAACAATCAGAAAAACCAAAAAGAAAAAAGAGAAATTCATGCACAAATATAATGTGCTTTGGTCAAATCCACCCTCACACCACCTACCTCCAACTCCCCCTCTGCTGCCACTTTTCCCTCCCAACAGCACACAGTCTTTAAAAACTCAGCCAGGAGGTGGTGGAGGCACACACCTTTAACCCCAGCATTCAGGGAGACAGAGGCAGGCGGAACTCTGTGAGTTCAAGGCCAGCCTGGTCTACAAAAGCTAGTTCCAGGATAGGCTCCAAAGCTACAGAAAAGCCCTGTCTCAAAAACCAAACAAATAAACAACAACAACAACCCAACAACAACAAAACAAAACTGCGCAGAGTACTCCTTCAGTCCTCACAGTGCTGCCCACCAGCATGTGCACGGGTGCAGGTCCACCCAACAGAACACTGGCAGCCTAGCAGGGGCCTCATCCCCGAAGAAAACTGACCCCCCACCCCACCCCGAACTATCAGTAGTCAATAACTACTCAGCTAGGGGTGGGACTTGGTGAGCCTCTCCCCATTTAGCATTTGAATAACCTTTTATTATGTGAGTGTATAAGAATTTTTCTTAGCTGGGCAACAGTGATGCACACCCTTAATCCCAACACTGGGGAGGTAGAGGTAGGCAGGTCTCTGTGCGTTCAAGGCCAGTCTAGTCTAAAGAGCAAGTTTCAGGACAGGCTCCAAAGAGAAACCCTGTTTCAAAAAAATGAAAAAACTTTTTCTTCTTTCTGTGCTTGTCTTACTTTAGATTTATGCCAACACAAACAACGGCCAACGCTCCCGAAAGTATTCTCACACAATCTCTGGTGGACACACAGCAGCAATTCCCCATAGGACACTCACAGGAGTGAACGTGCTGAGGTTTCGTGTAAGAAACATTCTTGCATGCCCTCCTTTCCAGTTTTCAGTGTACTTGGCTACTTTCTGTTCTTCCATCACAGGCCCCTCCTCAACCAGCTCAGAGCCTTCACACAAACCATTTTCCTCCCCTAAAACCCTTTCCCCATCTTCACTTACAAAGCTTGCCCTCTACAGGCTGTGATCTTTGCAGGGAAGCCTCCTTTGACTTCCCACCAGGATTGACTGTTGCTTTAACTGAAATGCAGTTGATTAAAGTCACCTAAATCTAATCCCTGAACCAACTATAGCAATTAAGGCTTATGTTCATTGTGGAGTGATTAGGTTAGGTCATTCAGGTGGAGCCCTATGATTGGGTCCTGGTGTTTTTTTCATAAGGGGGAAGACAGACCACAAAGAGATACACAAGTACTTCTATCACGTATGCTGTAGCTCAGGCCTTAATAAGAACACACACAATGTTCCTTAGACCTTGTACCTTCAGGATGGTGAACCTGCTTCCAGCATTTCACTGAAACAATGAATGTTTGATTTATATGTTTCCCCTTTATTTTTCATCATAGTACCAAGATCATTTATTGCTCCTCCCTTCTCGAGTTAAATGTTTATTAGAGTTGTAGTGGCATGATTCTCATGGATCAGTGTTTATTTAGTGCCTAGTTCAATGTTTGGTATACAAGTAAACATTTGTAAGAAGACGAGGTCTTTGGATGACTGAACAGATAATCAAATATATTATTATCTCAATTTTACAAATAAAAATTTAAGGTTTAGGAATAGCTGTACAAAAAGACAGTATACATGATAGTAGCTGAAGAAGCCAGACTTTGAGTCTTGTCTATGTTTCCTAGGCTTTGGAAAGCACACTTTAGATGATATAACTTTCTAACAGTTATGAGAGTGGTCTTGAGAGTTTCCAGGATTGCTTCAATGGCCAGGGTTCCAGAACTTGGTGAGGTTTTCTAAGCAGAAACCAACTCATGCATCTACAAGGTAAGAAGCATCTTTATTCTAGCATGTTAAGCCCAGATACTCAGAGAAGGATTTCTATACAGGACCCGGAAATGCAATAGTGACATGAATCACTATTAATTTTGGAAGATTCCACATACTTAAGAGCAAGCATACTTGTCCTTTATGAAAATTATAATGAAGGGCTGTAGATATGGCTCAGTAGTTAAAAACACTTGCTGCTCTTGAGAGGACCAGAGTTTGATTTCCAACACCTACACTGGGCAGCTCACAACCACCAGTAACTCCAGCTTCAGCGGATTTGATACCTTCTTCTGGCTTCCATGGGCACCCATATACATATAGCAGACACACGTAAACACATATTAAATAATAAAATAAAATTTTTATAGTGAAGTAAAATTCTAGTGATGTCATAGTAGATTTCTCGTGCATAGAAACTGTATCCTTACATCTTGGTCTCCTTGATGTCTAGCATAGTAGCTTACAGTGAGGTCTCCACACCCAGTTGGAGAGTGAGAATGACTCAGAGCACGTTTCAAACCCTTTGAAAGGCATTCCAGGCAACCTCCACCTGCAGGCCAGCATAGGAACCCATCCATGCCTCCTGCCTGACTCACTTTCTCTCGCCCCTGCAGACTATGACTTGGTTCACTTGCTCCGGTCAAACAGAAGGCCATGCAGATCTGAAACCGTGCACCTGTGCTTCTGCAGAAAATCTCCGTCCCTATAATAATCTCCCTTTCCACGTTTAGCTGACTCTTGCTCATTCTATACAATTTCAATTGAGTTTCCTCTCCCCAGGCTGTTTTGAATGCCCTGCCCCATGTTCTACAATATTCTGCATTTAGCGCTTTATCACATCAGACCACGTTTCTTCCCTGCTCATTCCTCTCCCTGATAAAAGTCGACTCTCCAAGGACAAAAGCCAGGACTTTCTTTACTTTGTAGTCCATGGAGCTAACACAGAGCCTGATTCACAGTGCGTATTTAGCTTGTAAAAAATAAATGTTCTGCTGATTGTAGGGTATACTAAGTCAAAGGAATAGGACAAGAACAATGTCCAGGAAGAGGTAATTCTTATTCTGTCACCTACTAAATGATGAGCCTTTTTTTTGAATATTCGACAGGAATTATCCATTCAAGGTAGATTCTTTGATCATGTTTTTACCACTAAAAAAGAAACTAAGAAACGGAGAGGCTGAGTAGTTTCTCCAGGGTTACACCAGCCAGGCAGTTATTTTCTACAGTCCTTAACATGATACTCTACTGCCCAGACCTTGCATGAACCCTGTCCCTAAGGAGTTCAAAGTCTCATGAAAGAAGACAGGCAGGTAGAAGATTAATCACCACGCAGGGTTCTTCTTCGAGATGTATGTCCAACATAAAGGGGCAGAAGAGAACGGGGGAGTGAAGGATACAAGAGGTGGAAGTCCATGTTTCTGGGGACTCCTCTAAGAGGCCGTGTTCTAACAGGGTCTTAAAGAAAAACCATTCCGACTGAAGTGAAGGGAAAGACACACAAGGCAGAGACAAAAGTCTAAGCAGCACAGAGGAATGAAACCACATGTTTTGGGTGCCAGTGCCAGCCCAACACAAAATGAAGTGTGGGCACCCTTGGGCACACATTATTAGCAATTTCACAGCAGTTATAGCAGGCTATTAAATCAAACAGGAAGTGCTTCCAAGTTTTGTGCAACCGAGCAGGTGTCACACCCATCAAGCCAGCCCTGAGAGATACCATAACTGCTTCAGAACTGCTGGAACAAGGAGTACCTGAGCAGGACTTTACGAGGCAGGAAATGATCCTGGCAAGGTCCGTAGAGGCCAGATCATGAAAGGAGGCCGGAGTCTGTCCAACAACTAACAAGAAGGCGCAGCAGGTTTCTCAGCAGTGATGTAATCTGATTAGATTACTTTGCAGAGTCTTCTGGTGGTCCTGCCAGGAGAAGACTGGCAGCTAAGAGAAGACATCCAGGCTGGCTCAGTAGCAGTGGTGATTGTAAGGACCAGAGAGGCTCCAGCCTGGAACTTTGTCTTTGTACCAGGGATGTCCAAGAAACGTAGTCCTGAGGAATGACTAAGAAGGTGGCTTGCAGAGTTAGTACTTGAGGTGCACAAAGTGGCCACAAGGAAAGAAGCATGGGCCAGGGCGGGCAGAGGTCATGAAGTTCAAGAAAAAACAACACCATTTTTGCTTTGTTCTGTTAGACAAGTTAGAAAAAATGTTGCAGTTTTTTTTCTAGTTATTGAGCACCATCCTATCATTTTCATTAGGGGAGCCCAACCTAGGGAAGGCATAAAATGCAAGAAAGGAAGCAGCTGTGCAGATCTCCTTCTCTATAACTTTCACGAATGGGTGAAGAACCTACTTACTTAGTATTGTCTTCCATCCAAATAGCCTCTGGGAGTCACCAGAGTTCCCCACGAGATTGAACTGATGCTCATACCTTTCAGTGAGATGTCTCCAGTGCCAAGCTGTTCTCAGGAAGCTCCCTGCATTCTCTCTGCTGTACTAACCTTATTTGTCTGATCTGCAAAGTAAGAACAACACAGCAGCTCAGAACTTTGGCAATATCAACTCACTGGTGTGGAGAGCAAATGCCGAGCTTCCCGAAGGCTGAAAGTGGTTTTCACAACTAAATTCTTCTGGTTTACCTCTCCTTTTCACGGTTCAGTTCATTCGTGGGACCTGACCATCCTGACTGTCCTTTTACTTATCTGAGAAAAAACTTTAGAAGCTATGATGTCAATTCACACATTGAAATGGTCAAGATATCTGCACAGAATTCATAACTGTATTAAACAATCTCTCAAAACAAGAAGGGCAGCTGACTCTACAGCTTGCTTCCTGCCTCCAGGGACAACCATCACATTTTAAATGTAATGTTCCCATTCTCCTTCGGTTGCTAGTGCCCCCAACCATACACATCCAATATTTTACATGTCCTTCTTTAGACAGTATTCTTTAGACAAAGGGCTGCTGAGTACGGCAGAAAGATCATGACCTTTCAACTCAGATGGGGGAGGGCACCGATATGACGTTGGATGAGCTATTCAGCCTCCCTCACTTTCATTTTACTGGTGTACAGTGGAGTGTACAGCTGCACTGTAAGGGTAGCAGAATGAATAAACTCACTGATGTGTAAAGTAGCTGTGCTGAGCTAGACCGCCAATAAAGCTGGACACCTGGATAGCCTGTGTATATTTTGGTAAGGGAAATATTTAGTATCTTTATTATGCTGTCACAAAAGTTAATTAGCTGGTTAGTTTCTGAGGCCTGAGTGGGTTTCTTTGCTTTTGCTAGCAACCCTCGAGCGGTCCCCACTTCCAGACCCCATCATACTTCTGGGGCCTGAAACTGACTGCCCTGGGTCCGATCCAGAGATACAGCAACTTCATCCTACAGACAGCAAGGCACTCTCCTCTTTCCCTTCCTACAAGCTATGTTTGGTTCTTCTGTCAGGGCTTCTGCTATTTCCTCAGGAGTCTCCCTCGACCTTGACCAAACCACTTGGTTCCAGTTGTTACATAACATAAATTTCCACAACTAATCCTGAATTTTTTTTTCTCATCAACTCCTTTGGAACACCATCTTGTTCCTCACTATAAACATAGCACCTGATGCATTGCCCTGAATACAGTAAGTACTTAACATCACTCCCTGTATACAGTAGGTACGTAAAAGCAGTATGTGAGTAAACGAATGAATGTCGGGCTATTAATAAGTGATTTGTGTAAACATGTATATTACTCTTGGATATAAATAAATTGAGAAGATTATTTCATTCATAAGTATATGAATCTCATCATCCATACATAAAGACTCTTGCGAATACCAATCAACATACATAGTATAAGCACTGAAGTGCTTTTATCAGGGTGGGGATGACCTATGAAAATACAGCCTCACTTACAACTCAATGGGACTAATGGCCATCTCTCATAGATGTCACGCCCCACAGACCAGGAAAGAGATACATGTTGTAGTATATAAAGTCTACCTGTGGAGGTAACTGTGTCTGAGAGTGAGTTTCTGAGTCTAGGATCTCAGCGATAGATCCAAAGATGAGTAACCATCATATGCAAGACACCAAACCCATCAACACTCATATAATCCACCAAAGGTACTTAAGCTGAGATTTGGTTATAATACACAAATTTTCTAAACCACAGAGCAAGAATCTCAAACAGAAACAACTGATCAGTAAAAAGGTCACTACACACACACACACACACACACACACACACACACGGAAAGGCAAGGAAAAATATGTGGGAGCAAGAGAGATAGGATAGGTAAAGTGGGTCTCGCACACACAAGCCTGAAAAGCTCTTTTTTTCGCTAAGTAACTCTAATTCTAAAAACTGGGTCTTCGACCCATCTTACCCTCCTAACATCCTTTCCATTTAAAATACAAAGACTCCAGTATATGAAGTTATGAGAAGAGAAAAGAAAACCCATTTCAGAGCCACGAGGAGCTGCCATCACCTCAGCAGGGATGAGACAGTAGATACTCAGAAAGGATATGAGCCACAGTTGAAGAGAACGGGCAAGAGGAAGAACAGAAACCCAAGAGCAGAGCTGGTGTTCACTAAGCCCAGTTCCTTTCAATTCTTATTTTACCCTGAACAATAGCTGTCAATTCATTTTTGCCTCTCCAGTGCACGCTACAGGTCTGATCCCATCACAGTTGACCCTGAAGCCACTGATTTCTTTTGTATTATCTATGATTAAAATAAAATTAATTAACCCAGTTGCTTATATAATCCAGAGTCACGTTTGATATATATTCTTTATTCATTATAATTAGTCATTAGCCAAAGTATGATTCTTGCTGTTTTTTTCAGGTTTGCCCCTCTCCTGCCTCTTTGATCTCACTGAGTGAGATTTTGCCTGTTATTAAGCAGTATCAACCTTTCCCACAAGATCCCCTGATGAGGTTAGGGACCATGCCTATCATTTGTCTATTATATATCCAGAGATGAGCAAATCCATGACACAATAAGAAGTAACAACCCAAGGACAAATAAAGGTCTGTTGACTAATGGGTATCGTTCATAGTTATTTTCTGAGTCAGTGCCTGATGGTACACAATGTCAACAAGAACACAGAGGGAAAGATAAGTTAGTCCTGATCTCGAACACATAGTCTAGCATCTTCTTCCATTTTTCTACTGCAATAAGATAATAGATTTCACAACATCTTAAGATTATTTCTATGTCCTCTGAGGTCTCTTGAACCGTATGTCTTAATTTTTAAATATTCTCGTCTAAGCTTTCTTTCTATTGTTCTTATTTCCTAACTGGCAAGGTGAAATCCTCAAAAGCAGAAATATGGTATGTGTGTGTGTGTGTGTGTGTGTGTGTGTGTGTGTGTTTTATGGAAGTCTGTATAAAAACTTCTTGTAACAAATGATTTTGAGGGTCACAAAGATGGTTCAGCACATAAAGGCACTTGCCACTTAAGCCTGGTGACTTGAATCCATTCCTAGAAAATAAAAGAGGCAAGAGATAGCTGATTCTATAAAGCTGTCCTCTGACCTCCATTTGACGCTATTTTTCACTCATGTGTATACACACACACACACACACACACACACACACACACACACAAACACGCACACACATGTTGTGAGCTAGAAGATTACCTGAAATTCTAAGATTCAGGAAGTTTAAGCACAAAGATTGAGAATTTGAGACAAGCTTGGGCCCTAAGCTGTACAGTAAGACCTTGTCTCAAAAACAACTAACCAAACAACATAGTGTGTGTGTACATGCATGCACACATTAATATATTGGAAAAAATGACCTGAGTTAATTGTTCTGATTGAATAAAAACAGAAGTTGCTTATGTGATGTAGCGATTGAGTGTACCAGACAGGAGGATGTCTTCTGGCATGAGCCAAGCATTATATATCTTATTGAAATAAATCTCTGTTAGGGTCAAAGCTTGATTTGCCCTTATCTCTTTACTGGGTTACACAAGCATCTTGTGCTTCACTAAAGATAAATTCATCTCAAAAACAAACCAAGAGTGTGCAGTGTCCACAGAGGCCAGAAGAGGGTGTCATGGTCCCTGAAACTGGCATTACAGACAGTTGTGAGACACTTCATCAGGGCTGGGAATTGAACCCGAGTCCTCTACAAGAGCAACCAGTGCTTTTAATTGCTGAACCATCTCTCCAGCCTCACTTTAAAATGTCTTAGGTTAAATATGCTTATTAAGAATACATGAATAAAGATTGGGAAGAAAAAAACCAGCATGACTTGTGATCTTACACTCACGGAGGAACACATTTTAGATTTTAACATGTGGCCTTCCAAATTATTTCTACACACATATGTAAATGGAGTTGTACAGAAAGTTGATCTTTTAATTTTTAAAAATAAACTGTGTACTAAGAACATACAGAAAGGTTATGAGAAGCATTATATAACTTAGTGGAATAGGTCACTGTCAGGGTATTCTAGTTATCTCTTAAAGGATTAATTTGCTACATTAAACCAGGGTTCTGTGTTTGTTTGGAGATGTGTGCAGCCTATGATACCTGGCATTCTCTGCAGCCGCATGTGTGGAATGTGAAGTCACTTCCTAAAGAACTTCCGTAACTGAGACCTGATTCCTAGCTCACAGATGACCACAACAGTGAGTCACTAGGCTGAGAGCAGAGCATTCTAGCTGACGAAGTTCATGGAATATCACTTCAGAATTCATTTTTCTGTCACTTTTGGATGGTTACACTGTCAGAAGACCCAGGCCAGGGCGCGTTACTGTTATATTTATTGTTTAATTTGTGGAGACCCACATCGTTATGTGGTTAGGCTGTTGTGGAGTAGGACCTCAACAACATGCCATAGCATGGGTTCATACAAGCGAAGCTCACTCTATGTAGGAAATTCAAAATCACACTAAACTGAAAACAATATTTGAAGTCAACAAAGCCAGGACTACCTCTAGAACTCCTATTTTAAAAAGATCTATGGCCCGTACTGGGAAAATGGCTCAGTGGGTGAGTGTTCAAGTGTAAGCTCTTGAGTTCAAATCTTCCGATCCCCTGTAAAGCCAGATGTTATAGCAAGCACCACTAAGCCCTGAGAAAGGAGGCAGGCAATCCACAGAGCTCATGGGCCAGCGAGCCTGGCATATGCAGTGGCAAACAAGAGATGCTGTCTCTAAAAAGATGGCAGGGGATTGACGCCAATGTGCTCTCTGGGCCCCACATGCATCTGTACTCACACACATGATGATTTGAAAAAAAAAAAAAGTCTGTTGCTAAGTGTGGTCCACTAAGATGAGCTAGTTCGTGGGTAAATACTCTGGTGAGTTCTTTGTTTCCAATGATGGGAAACATGCATACAGACTCATTTGAAAAGTAGAAAAGCAAGGAGCAGAAGCAAAGATCTGTGAGAAACAGAAATGTCTTCAGCTTACACTTCTGGCAAGTGATAAAAGGCATCTCTAACGACAAAGCCAGATGGAGATCAAATGACTACTGGGAGTTGATAATGGTCCCCAGCCCTCCAGCACCCG